AAAAAAAAGAGCCTTTCTAGCACATAAACATGAAGTAGAACACTAACATCACTAATGCTTTTTCTGGTATTTTTTACAGATCAGTTTTGAACGCTTTATATTTTGTTAATATTTTATTAAATGTTTTAATATGATGTGTAGTTATGTAAAGTAGGAGCAAAGAGGTGCCCGGTGTAGTTTCCCAAACGGCCACTAGGTATTACCATACCTTGGGTCAAGAATCCATGTCATAAGAATAGGCAATATAGTTGCCTAGATAGCCAATACAGGCCCCCAGAGTAGTTTGTGGGTGATATCATGGAGGGTTAGGTAGTGCCAGCACTGCTCCTGCTAGTGCAGAACATCTTGGGTAAGAGGGCTTGGTATAAACAGTCTGCCTAGCCTTCTGGATTGTTGGTCGACAAGGGAAACACCAGGCTGTGGAAAAGATGCAATCTTTTAGGTCCAAGCTTCTTACAGCTTCCCCGTAAGAGGAGGAAGGGTGGAAAGGTGCAGAGGACTGTTGGAACTACTTACATCCCTTTGCATGGTATGCATGACTCTTGCAAAACCCCCCCGAAAAGGTAAGGACTTCTCAATTGTATTAACTGCTTGTTGTTTCTCCATTTACTGTTTGCAATTTAAGGAAAATGTTGTAACCATTTGGATGATTGAAAAGGCATAAATATGTAAATCAACTGGTCCCGTAAACAGTTAAAAGGCTTTCTGTTGTTTGGACTCTTCCTTCTCCTGAACTCCAGATGAGAACGTCCTTTGGGAATGAACAGGTGCTGGGTGAAGCTGTTGTTGGGCCGGAGGAAAAGTATTCAATGGACTGCTTGTGGCTGCTAGTCTGGTTAGGCCTGGCTGGGGGGCCCCCAAAGGTGCTCACATATTGGTGCCTAGGGGAGGATCCTGTTACCATTATGCCCCAGTGAGTATAAAAATGTGTTGGGGATGTTGGAGAGGGATGTGTTGAAGAGTGCACATGCTCTTCCACCACATAGAAGTGTTGCAAACACCAGGCTGGGGCAAAGATGTAATCTTTGAGGCTCAAGCTTCTTAGAGCTTCCCCTTAAGTGGAGGAAGGGTGAAAAAGGTGCAGAAGAGTGTTGGGACTACACACATCCCTTTAAATGGGAATGCGTGACTCTGGCAAACCCCCCAACAAAGGTAAGAACTTCTCAATTTAATTAACTGCTTGTTGTTTCTCCACTTACTGTTTACAACTCAAGGAAAATGCTGTAACCATTGAGATGATTGAAAAGGCATAAATATGTAACTCAACTGGTTCAGTAAACTGTTAAAAGGCTATTTGTTGTTTTGGCTCTTTCTTCTCCTGACCTCCAGATAAAAAAGTCCTTTGGAAATGAACAGGTGCTGGGTGAAGTTGCTATTGGGCCTGAGGAAAAGTATTAGATGGACTGCTTGTGGCTGGTTAGGCTAGGCTGGGGGGCCCTAGGGGGTGCTCACATATTGGTGCCAAGGGGAGGATCCCATTCCCATTATGCCCCTGTAAGTATAAAAATACAACCTATGCTGGGCAGGGATGTGTTGGAGAGTGCACATGCTGCTCTACCACATGGCTGTACACATGGAGGCCATGCAGCCCACAATGGTTATTGATATTATACTCCTGTTCCATGTACACTCTAATGGAGAATACATTTTATTTTGAATATTTATACAATTTTATTTCAGATCAGTATATACCCACCATCTCCTGCCCAGTGATGGCCATACGTTGTGATCATTACCATCTGCATGCTTGTATTTTAAGGAAGTAAACAAGGAATTTATATTTCTGTATATTCAAAGTTATGACCATTACAAATGAGGAACAGCTTGTAGCTGTTCAGCTGAGTCACAATGAATCTCAATTATTATCCAAAGACACTGACGTGAGGACTCCATAAGACACAGACCAGGGCAGAGGTTCATTGTGCAGAAGTCAGCCTTGAGTAACACCACAAACCAGACCACAATGCAGACTGAAAACTTGCCAGGAACACTCTGAAAACCTCAGTTAATGAAGATAACTAGCTAGTGGTGAGGTCTGACCGTAGTCTACACTGCATGGCTATGACTTGCAAGACAGGAACTCGAAAAGTCTGCTGGTGATAATTTAAGGTGATGATTGCTTAGACACAAGAAATGATTACAGCATAGTTTTAGAATAGTTTCACTTGAAAAATAAATAAATGTCAGTAGTATAACCGGTGCCTAAATGTCTAACATCCTTAAAATCCTGATAAATCCTGATAAATTAGGGTAATACAAATACAGTTAATTTATATCTTAAGCAATCATAATTACATGCATGCATGTCCATAGACATTCCAGGGAAGTTAATTATGCATGATCCAACTTCCTCTAGGTACTTCTGTCATAAACACACAATTGACATCTGCAGCTCTCCATGAGGTCACAGAGTGGACTTGCCAAAAACAAGGTCATCCTATGCCTCTGGAGATTTTCAATTTAATTTACTAAAGGAAAATAGGTCACTTTGCAAGGGGATTGGCCCTTAGTTTAGTGAATGTGGTGAAAATCCACTTTGCAATAAATACCCAATCATGGGTAAAGAAAATTAAAAACAAAATTTTTTTCTGTGCACATGATTGGATGATGTAAATTAGCAGAGCTTCACCTCATTCGCTAAGCTATGGGGAAAATTCCTTTGCAAAGTGCAAATTTCTCTGCACACAGCCTATTTGTCTTTAGTAAATCAACCCCTTTGCAACAATAGGAGATGAGAGACAGCAGTCAAAACTGTTTGCTAGACTGCAGTCATTTAGAAAACTGCAAGTAATTTACACCAATTTAAACCTTGCATAATCCCTGATGTTATAAAGAGGGAACCTGGTGAAGTATAATGGGTGGGAGGGAGCTGGTCAAGTACACTGCTCAAAAAAAATAAAGGAGCACTTTTTAAGCAGAGTATAGTACAAGTCAATTCAACTCCTGGGATATTGATCTGGTCAGTTATGTAGCAGAGGGGGTTGTTAATCGGTTTCAGCTGCTTTGGTGTTAATGAAATTAACAACAGGTGCACTAGATGGGCAACAATGAGATGACAGCCAAAACAGGAATGGTTTTAGAGGTGGAGGTCACTGACAGTGTCACTGACAGTGTCAGTGTCACTACTGGTAGCATGAGGTGATATCTGGACCCTACAGAGCTTTCACAGGCAGTCCAACTCCTCCAGGATGGTACATCAATACATCAAAGGTTTACTGTGTCTCCCAGCACAGTCTCAAGAGCATGGAGGAGATTCCAGAAGACAGGCAGTTACTCTAGGAGAGCTGGACAAGGCCATAGAAGGTACTTAATCCATCAGCAGTAACGGTATCTGCTCCTTTGTGCAAGGAGGAACACGATGAGCACTGCCAGAGCCCTAAACAAATTACCACCAGCAAGCCACTGGTGTGAATTTCTCTGACCAAACAATAAGAAACAGACTTCATGAGGGTGGCCTGAGGGCCAGACGTCCTTTAGTGGGCCCTCTGCACACTGCCCAACACCATATAGCTCGATTAGCATTTGCCATTAAACACCAGAATTGGCAGGTCCGCCACTGGCACTCTGTGCTTTTCACAGATGAGAGCAGGTTCACCCTGAGCACATGTGACAGATGTGAAAGGGTCTGGAGAAGCTGTGGACAACATTATGATGCCTGTAATGTCGTTCAGCATGACCGTTTTGGTGGTGGGTCAGTGATGGTCTGGGGAGGCATATCCATGGAGGGACACACAGACCTCTACAGCTAGACAATGGCACCCTGACTGCCATTAGGTATTGGGATGAAATCCTTGAACCCAGTGTCAGACCCTATGCTGGTGCAGTGGGTCCTGGGTTCCTCCTGGTGCACGGCAATGCCCAGCCCCATGTGGCGAGAGTATGCAGGCAGTTCCTGGAGGATGAAGGAATTGATACCATTGAATGGCCCCCACGCTCGCCTGACCTAAAGCCAATATAACACTTCTGGGATATCATGTTTCGGTCCATCTGATGCCGCCAGGTTGCACCTCAGACTGTCCAGGAGCTCAGTAATGCCCTGGTCCAGATCTGGGAGGAAATCCCCCAGGACAGCATCCGCCGTCTCATTAGAAACATGCCCCGACGTTGTCAGGCATACATGCACGCACATGGGGGCCATACAAACTACTGAATATCATTTTGAGTTGCTGTAATGAAATTTCAGCAAAATGGACTAGCCTGCTGCATCATTTTTCCAATTTGATTTTCAGGGTGTCTTTGAATTCAGTCCTCTGTAGGTTGATAATTTTCATTTCCATAAACGATGGGGCATCCTTACATTCCTAACACATTACCCAGTCCATATCAGTATAGATATCCAGCATGATACTTTTCTCCATTGAGATCTGATGTGTTTTAAAAGCGTTCCTTTAATTTTTTTTTGAGCAGTGTATATAGTATCATGCACAAAATAGTAGGTGCCTATATCTTTGTTTTGTTTTTGTTTTTTTTGCTGTTTTGACATTAAGTTTAAAGTGCATTATAGAAAAAACTTTACTGGGTAAGTTCATTAAAGCATATCATGTGCCATATTTTCATTAATGTGCATTATTTGCCTAAAGTTATTGCAAGCCTCAAACATGAAAAAGCATATCCTTCTATAGAGTGTATTTGTCTCAATTAAGAGCACTGAGTGTCATTTCTGTCTGTTGCTTTATTCCTCTGCTATCAGCATAAATCACTTTTGACAAATTTTCCTGACACCAAGAAAAAAAAAATGTGATATGAAGGGACCTCCAGCTGATTGACAGCCTCAGCTCTGTTCTTGTGTGCTGTGTGGGGGGGGGGGGGGTTGTCCCTTCCCTCCAATCAGCTATCAGAGCTCTTCTCCCATATCTCTGCAGAGTATAACTTCAGCTCTCCAGAGTAAACCTTTAGCTCTCAGCCCCCTTTTTTCTGAACCTCAGACAAGCTTTAGCAATTCAGCACTTTGAATGGATGCAGAGAAGAGAAGATTCTATTTGTAGCAGAAATCATTAGTCATGTCTGGTCACGGAAAAGGAGAGAAGGGTCAGGGGAAAGGAGGCACTAAACGCCACAGGAGGGTGCTCTGGGACAACATCCAGGGCATCTCCAAACCCAACATCCAATGTTTAGCTGTAGAGGGAGTGCCAAGTACATTCCCAAACTCATCCATGAGGAGATCCGCACAAAGCTCAAGGTTTTCCTTGAGAATGTCATCCGTGATGCCGTCACCTACATTGAGCATGCTAAGAGGAAGACCGTCACCGCCATGGATGTCATCTATGCTCTTAAAAGACAACAATGTACTCTCTATTGTTTCAAAAGATAAATCCTGATACCCACTTCATCTACACAAAGTCCTTCTCAGGGCCAACAAAATAAAAGAGCTGGCTCTGGCCAACTCAGTAGATTGTTTTAAGAAAGGCCTGGATTCTCTCTGTAATATAACTGGATACAAATATGTATAGGTAATGCTGATCCAGGGAATATCCGATTGCCTTTTGGGGGATCAAGAAGAAATTATTTTCTCTGCCAGAGCAAATTAGATCATGTTATATTGGGGTTGCCTTTGTCTGGATGAACTGTGGGTATTGGATAGTGTATATGGAGGTTTTCTATTTGTGTGTGTGTTTTTTTTTCTCTGTTGGTTGAACTGGATGGAATTGTATCTTTTTTCAACCAGATTAACCATTTAACTATGTAAACAGGCACAAGTTATGTAGGATGATTTGTTTCATCTCTGTGTGTAACCTGAAGCCAGTCACTCACTAGGTATATGTAACGGTTTAAAACAGTTTAAATGGGGTTTAACCACTGGACAACCAGGTTATAGCCGAATGACAGCTATAGCGTGGTTGTCCAGTTCTGGGAGAGTGTTCACCCGGCGATATCCGTGATCTCTGTGTCCTACGGACACAGCTGATCACGTGATGTTGTATAAGGCCAATCACAGCTGCCTTTTACCACGTGATCAGCTGTATCCGATGACACAGCAGATCACCAAGTAAATGCAGTTGCCGGTTATCGGCTGCACTTTCCTCACGTTGGCACAGAATGAGGAAAATACTACCAATAACAAGCAATTGTCAGAGGAGAGATCGGCACTGATGATGATCAGTGCCCAGCAGTGCCACCCACTTGTGCCCAGGAGTGCCACCCACATGTGCCCACCAGTTCCCAGCAGTTCCACCCATCAGTGCCCATCAGTGATGCCCATCAGTGTCGCCTATCAGTGCCCACTAGTGCTGCCTATCAGTACCGCCTAACAGTGCGGCATCATCAGTGCTGCCTACCAGTGCTGCCTATCAGTGCCATCAGTGCTGCCTTATCCAGGCCACCTCATCAGTTCCACCTATCAGTGCCAATCAGTGCTGCCTATCAGTGCCCATCAGTGCCGCCTATCAGTGCAGCCTCATCAACGCACATCAGTGAAGGAGAAAAATTACCTGTTTGCAAAATTTTATAATAAAAACAAAGTAAAACTTTTTTTTTCCAAATTTTTTGCTCTTTTTTTGTTTATAGCGCAAAAAAAAAACACCCAGTGGCAAGTAAATACCACCAAAAGAAACCTATATTTGTGTGAAAAAAATGATAAAACTTTCATATGGGTACAGTGTTGCATAACCGCGCAATTGTCATTCAAAGTGCAACAGCGCTGAAAGCTGAAAATTGGCCTGGGCAGGAAGGGGGTATAAGTGCCCAGTAGGCAAGTGGTTAAAAAGGGCTTTAACCACTTCCCGTCTAACCTATAGTCAAATGACATAATGTGAAAAAAAATGCTGATTACTTCCCCAGAGTAGTGCAATGTTACTATGGGAACATTTTATTGCTCTGGTCACAGTGTGTCACCAGAAAAAAAACATTGTAAAAAATACATAATAAAGAAAAAAATATATATACTGCATATATTAATTTTTTTTCTTTTTTACATATTGCCACCAGTCAGTGTTGACAAAGAAATAGGACAGGCTCTGAGGAAGAGGATAAGTCCTCGAAACGCGTCAGCCTCTGGATGTTTCATGATTTCTGTACACCTTGATGCTTTGCGGACTGTTTGTGCTGTACCAATGAGATGTATTTGCACTTTTTATGTGATATGCACAGAGTGAATCCCCGCCCATGGGTGGTCTGGGGACACCCCTGGAATGATTGGTGGCTTGTATGCAACAGCATATATCAGTCCAGGTGCAGCTAGTAGCTCGACAGGCTCTGAGGAAGAGGATAAGCCCTCAAACGCGTCAACCTCTGGATGTTCCATCGTTTCTGTACACCTTGATGCTTTGCAGACTGTTTGTGCTGTACCAATGAGATGTATTTGCACTTTTTATGACTTTGTGAGTATAATATTTACCTTTTTTACAATAAACCTATTATTTTAAGGTTAATGCACTTGGTGTGCCCTCTGTTTGTTTATCGTTACACCAGTCAGTGTCTCTGGTCAGTACCATTTTCATTGTTCATTTTCCTAAAATTGTGAAAAAAAAATTACAACTTCAAAAAAACTTACCATGCCTCTTACTAAATACCTTGGACTGTCTACTTTCCAAAAAGGGATCATTTGGTGGATATTTGTACTGTCATGATGTTTTCAGGCCTCAAGAAATGAGATCATGAGGCAGTCAATATAGGACTGTTCGATTTTCAGATATATATAACATAGTTTGTGGACTGATTTGGGTTATTTTCACCAAAGACATACAACAGAATACATTTTTCCTAAATTTATGAAGAAAGATTATTTATTTGCTAAATTTTATAACAGAAACAAAGAAAAACGTGGGTTTTTATTTTCAAATTTATCAGTCATTTTTCATTTATTTTTCAAAAAATAAAAACCCAGTGGTGATTAAATACCACCAAAAGAAAGATCTATTTGTGTGAAACAATGGACAGAAATGTAATATAAGTACAGTGTTGCATGACCGCGCAATTGTCATTCAGTGTGACAGCGCTGAAAGCTTAAAGTGCCTGTTATTGAAGTGGTAAAATGGAATTCCAGGGTAAGGTTAACTACTCCTAAAACTCCTCTCACCCCCTTCTAATACCTATACTAACTAAGCTGTGGAAGAAAGATCTGTATACTTAACTATTTTCAGGCCACCCTGGTCTGGGCACATGATCTCCCCTGTGTTATCCAGCAGCGGCTTCAGGGGAGAGGAGGTATCTCCAACAACCAATGACACATAGTAAGTCAATGGTTGATGTCACTGCTCTGGCATTCCAGCCATTATCTAGTTCTCTCTTCTCTACTCTGTAGCTGGTGCTGGCTGTTAGAGCAGTTTTAACAGTTATCAACTTCAGCCCTAAATTCCACTTTAATTATTTCCTTATAGGTTTTGAAGCTTAGAGATCCACACCAAGATAAACAGCATTGATGTGTCAATTAACTTGATGTAGCGCTCACCCCTACAGGAGCCACTGGTTTTGGGTCCTCCTATTTTCCCGCACGGCCAAGCAACACACATTTTCCAACTTGCATCCAAAGTCAGTAACCAGTCCATGGGCTTGTTTTTGTTGTTTTATTTGGGGATAAACAACTTGTGTAAGGTCTAGGAGTATATGGGATGCCCAAATGTACTTGCAACAAAAACATCCTAATTCTGTACAAGAAAAGTAAGATCCTGGACTTTCTACTCCAGACTGGGTGGCAGTCTCTTAATGAATCAATAGCACAGTCTCTGTGAGGAGCACCTTGATCCCTCCAAGTGAAATCTCTTCAGCTCCCAGCTAGGAAAAGCCCAACCTAGCTGTCTTCTGAAGAGTATCCTGGAGCAAGAGATTCCAAGACAGGCATGCAGCACTGTCCCAGGGAGAACTGGTAAAATATATTGCACCCAGCAGTCCTCTTTCCTGTAGGCCCAAGGGTGTAGATGTACTCACACTGTCCTTGTATCCTGTAGCCCTGGTTAAACTACATTCAGGCCTATCAATGAGCCAGTTTCTGTCCCCACTTGCAAGCTGTTCTTCACTGGTGGACTGTAAGACAGTGGAGCTCCCTCTGTCAGCTTCCTTTCTTTCAGCCTCCAACCTGGAGGCAGAACCCCCTGTTTCCGGGCCCCCTCCCAGACTACAAAGCAGCACTTCACTCCTCCATCTTCCACTTGACTCCCATGCTGGCATGGCTCTCTCATATTTGTGGGCCGCTCTTCCCGCACTGCTTGGACCTCCTTTCTGGGATTTGTCAGACTCCCATGAATATGCAGGTCTAAGTCTCAACCCCTCCACCCACTGGCTTCTAAAAGCTTCCATAGGCTTCCAGTGCCAGGTGGAAGCGATAGAGGCCCTACTTGCTGAGTCATCCAGCCTAACCTGAGCTTGACCCCTACTCAGACATGCTCACTTCAACTACTGTGTAAGCCATTACATTTTCCTAACTCTCTTGCGCCACTAGAGAACACTACATTGACACTAACTCTATGACTAATTTTTCTAAATAACAGCAGGTTTGAAAATGAGGAGCATGCACAGTTGCAACAATTCTAGTTCTATGGTTCAATAATATTGGTGCTTGGTTAAATAAATAAGACGGTCATGGTATGGGACATTTTACATTTGGGCTTATAAGGTAATATATTGCAGTCACAAAAAGTGTGCACACCCCTTTTGATAACGTGCTTGGCACGAAACGCGTCAAGGAGGAGCCATACATCATGACATCATGACATCGAATGCCGCCATTTGGAGAGTGGCTGATTAGCCCATGGCAGGAGAATTTTTTTGATATATATTATTTTGCTGGATGATCATCTCACAGGTCTGCAAAAAAATAGTAGGTTGCCTTCAAGTGTACGGAATGACCTACAGGTAAGGAAGCGTAAAAAGCACCGTTGTGGAGTAAAACTGCTTTGAGACTTCTTTTTGAAGAATCTATAAAAAGACGCCATTGCTCTGAATCATATTGGATTTGAAATTGACCCATCAGACCTTCGACATCGATGCAATAAACCAACTTGTCTTCCTGGGCAAAGTAAGGTACGAACTCCTTTTCACGATGTCTGAACCATGAAGATGACACTCCTGTCAACAATAAATTCCTGTTTTTCAGCCTTGATCAGAGTAACTCAGCGGCATCTTTGGGAAGATTCAAGTCTCTTACCAAATCATTCATCTCCTCCTGAGAAAACAATTTTGGTCTTGTATCATCTTCAAAGTCAGAACTTGATTTGTCAACTGGTTCAGGTATGACTTCACCTTCATCGGAGCTAGGTATCTCTTCCAAGGTAGCAGGGGGCTTGGGTGCTGGTATATCTGTGCCATGGGGGATGGGACGAATTGCTGAGTGAAGATTGGGGTATGAAATGGAATGCTTCCATTTGGAATTAAACCCTTTCACATC